AATATTGCAATCGTTCGTTGATAAAAGGAAAGCTGTTTCAAATTACTTCGTTTTTTTTTTTTTTTTTTTTTTTATTGATTCATTAATAAAATCGCTGTGTTATCATTTAATTGCTGTCACATTTTATCTATTTCCAAGTACTGACATTGGGTGGATATCAGTTATCTAAATGCTATATAACAAGTTTCATTTTTCATCTGTGATTCATCTTTCATTGAAAAAATGCATGTTTGTCGATATAATCGGGAATTTTTTTTTCTTTTTCTTTTTTTTTTGTAATTTCAAATAGGACGATCACAAAAGATATCAAATTGAAATTTACAGTTTGTATTATGCCATAGTTGGAAAATTCTTAATCATTTTCAACTTTTTAATTTTAAATTTTAAAACGCGAAATTTTTGTTTTGTAAAATTATATGTCAAATCCTTGCATGTTTACCGTTCTTCTTTCCCTTTTTTTTTTTCAGGAAATTTCGACAAATATCAAAATTTACATTGATTACTGTAACGAGCAGATTTGATAGCTTTTTAAGAAAGAAGAAAGAATATCTAATACTGATTACTTGTTAGTATTATTTAGTCAATTAATATATTTGGGAAAATAAAATGAAATTTTGGAAAAGAAAGAAAAGAAGAAACTTTGAAAAAAAAAAGAAATTTTGCATTTTTCCTTTTTATGGTTTGTAGAATATTCCCTTTGAAGTGATAGCAATTAAATGCGCAGAATAACGATAATACCAAATGATATGCAAACTCATAAGATATTTATACCAAGAAATGGACCAACATTTCTTGCAACTATTTTCTTGGTAAGTTTCTTACCAAAATTCCACTTATCATTTTATCATGTTCTTTTTTTCCGTTGAAAAATACGCAAAATTTTAATCGTTACGAAAATTTGAATGTATACTCACGTAATAGATTATTTATGTTTGACGACCTTTTTATATTTTTTTAAATTTCAACTGAAAAGGTTAGCTGAAAAACTATTTGTAACACAGCTAGGTATTTCACAAAGAAATTTATCCGACGAGTTTTAATTAAATTTTAAATTTATTGAAGTTAAATAAATGAATTTGATGAAGGACAGCATATGTCATATCACAACTTCAATTTTCTCTTTATTATCACTTTTCAAAATGGTAATAGCACTGCTGATTTTGATCTGAGTGTTAAAAAGGCTAAGTTAAGAAATTAGTCCAATACTTTTAAATCCTTCACATATTGCTATCCAAATGTATTTAAGGATTGAAATATTTCATTATTAAAACTTTACTAAAACAGGCATAACAAAGGTTATCAAAATTAGTTTTTTCTTTTTTTTCTTTTTTAAATTTTATTCATTTTATGGATTAGGATTTATTTTGTTGCAGGTAATTGTTGTAATTTTTAGGTCTTAGCATGGTTTGCAAATGAATTAGTATTAGCATGGGTACATGATCGAATACCACGTGATGACGCACGTCCGCTTCCGGATTTATGGTTTAGTTTGTTTCCAGAAGTAAGAAGTTCGTTAAATTTTACTAGGATTAAAGTACAATGATGATATTTCAATTAAAATGTCGTTCTAATTCTTTTCTCATCAAATCTTCATTATTAAATGAAATTGAAATTTAAATGTGCCATTTTTGAAAATTTCCCTTCCTTTTCTTTTAATTTTTTACTTTTTGAATTATTGTTTTGATTAACTAATATTTTTACCATTATAATAAAAATAAAAAATTTCTTATTTTATTTTTATTATTTATTTTTTTTTTTTACAGATAACAAATTCACTAATAGTAACAGAACTAATAATGATCACTCTGCTGGTGATATTGTTTGTCGTGATGTTTTGTCACCAATATCGATGGTTCGTAATTCGAAGGGTTTTTTTTTGCGCAGCTTTATGTTACACTTTTCGTGCTTTTTGCATTGTTTTACTTCAGGTAAATTTTACTTTTCCATTTTCAATTTGCTTTTTCGTTTATGAAATTGAAAAATTTTGATCATTCCTATTGATCAAATTTTTTCCTTTTTCGAATTTTAACATTTTAATCGCTTTTATTGATTGTACTGTAAGTGCAAATTAGAAATGATTAAACGTTTGGATAAATATTCGAAAATATTTGTAATATTCAAAAAAAAAGAAAAAGAAATACAAAAATAAAATAAAATTAAAAAATGAGGACTATTGATTTTTTCGGAGATTGCCATCAAAACTTGGAGGGAAGAATTTATAAACGGATGAAATATTGAAATCTATTGAATTGAAAACTATTGAAATCATTCTTATCAGCTGTTAGCGCAAAATAGAAAATACAAAAAAAAAATTTACTCTAATTTAGTTAATGTTATCATTAAAAATTTTTTTTTCCACTTTTTTTCACCTTTCCGTTTTTGTCATATAAATACTTTCAAAATGACATATCTTTTTTTTTTCTTTTTTAAACTCTTTTATCCATGTCATTATCAACATGATATCATACGAATATAAGAAAATCGTTATCATTTAAACAGCACCATTTTATTGGTATTGCCATTATCATTATCAGAACTATTCCGGAACACATTCATTGCTTTAGTTTCATGAATTTAAGGAGTATGAGTATTCTTATACTGTAACCTGATAGTCAGCTTAGTATTTTAGAAACGATAAGGAATAAGAAAATTTAAATTAAATATAATGATATGGGGATATAACAAGACAAAAGTTTTTGTCACCTTTACCGGATATTTGATTTCGGTATCATTCCAAAGTTTTGTTATGGATTGTTCCCGAGAGCTTATCAAACATTTGAAAATTGACACGAAAAGTTTTCCCTTATTTTCCTTTCGTACGAATGCTAATTGTTATTGATAATATTAAAACTGAAATTGAAATTGTATTCTATTGTAGGTACCGGTACCAAGTGAAAAAACATATTGTGCACCAAAAAGTAATGGTAGTTTGAATGTAATAATCAGTCGAATGTTAAGAATATTTTGGTCAGCTGGAATTGAACAGCTTCGTCCACGGTTAGTTAAATATGAATTCTTTTTTTTTCCCTTTCATGAAAATCCTTTTTCCATTTTTGTTTGTTTTAATAACTTTTTTCTGATAAGAAGTGAAATGATATTTTATTTAAAAATTAACGATTACTTCCATCGAATATTTGAATATTTTGACAATATTTATCATTTGAATTTTGTTAATTAAAAAATAGCAATCATTCGAAATTATCTGTTCCAAATATGTGCTATCATTTATGTTCTATTATTACGTTTGAATTATCAGATGTTAATTAGACATATCTTTGATTCATGAATAGTTTCAAAATTATGGTTACTTTTACAGAGAGCTTTGTGGTGATTTGATCATATCGGGACATACCATATCATTGTTTATGGCAGCATTAGCTTTAAAACAATATTGTCCGAAGAAACTTTATTGTTTAGCTGAACTATGTTATTATGCCGCTTTTATAGCGATACCTTTCATATTATTAGCCAGGAAGCATTATACAATTGATGTAGTATTGGCCTATTGCCTTACGACACGTATCTTCTGGACTTATCATTCATTATCAGTAATGCTTACTTGCTTTTTACATTTATGAATTTCCTATTTGTCAATTATTCACTTTATCCGATAAATTTCAATCATTGAAGATATAACATAGTGATTTTCTAATGCTTTTTAAAATCTTAACTAATGTGATCATTACTTGATTACAGCACTCTTATCATCAAGGTGATTTTGATCAAATTCCCTTAAAGCAATCAATTTGGGCTTTTATGGTACCATATTTGGAAGCAGATGCACCACCACCGCAATATTTTCAGAATTATTGGAAATTGCCATCCAATTGTCCACAATATCTTCGGAAAAGATTACCATAAGGGATAATGAATTCAGATAGTTTAATGATTGAAAAATTTTTTTTTTTAATTTAATCATAATGATTTGGTTATGGTTATTTCTTTTTTTTTATTCCTAACAGAATTCATCGTCAAACTTTTTTAAATACAATTTTTTCTTTTGAAAATTTTTATCAAAAATTTTAACCAAAATGATAGATGCACATGTGTCACTGAAATGGCGAAATAGGAAAACAATGAATCATTAATTATTTTGTTGTAAATTTGATATCATTTCATTGTGTATCTTATATTCCATGTGTTGATTTATTGCGCATTGTAAAATAAATGCAAGCGGAAATTTTATCTCCATTATGTCGTCTCTAACAAAGATCTCTAATTCCGCATGCGCTAACAAAGATGCTGCTAATTCATGTAATCTCAGAAATGTACCAGAGGATTTTCCCTATTCGAGGAAATCAAAAGCATTTCTAAAAATGTTTTTCAATGAGTTTCGGTTGGATAAACGATATTGAGCATTACTGGGTTCCCCTTTCATATTACTATTGTCATTAAATTGTCATATTGAAGTCATGATTGTTGAATTCGTTGTTGTCATAATAAAAGTTTAATTACCCAAATTTGAAATTTAGTCAACTGATTGAAGGAAATGTATTGACAGCAACATATGTTAAATGATGATGAGATTAATTTCTTGAGATATTAAAATAGAAATATGACAAAGAATAGCATATACAGAAGTTTTTACAAATTTAATTTCCACTTTTTTAACTTTTTTAAAGTGCAAATCAAATTTGTTTTGTTTGCTTTAAAAGAAAAAAATGATTTTTATCGTTAAGTATGAATTAAATTCTAAAGAAATGATGCATTTGTAATATTTTGTCATCAGTAATGATATGTTCTTTGATGTTTTGTTCTTTTTTTTCCCCCTATTCTAATTGTATATCACCAGAACTATAAAAGTTGATTATTCTGTTTGAAATGATTCATCAAATGATGCTGGATCAGATCAAATGCTGGATTGACTCAATCTTATTAATTTATTGTCCGTTTTTGTCCAAAAGAAAATCACTCAAAATCATTTTTCTTATTGTAAATAAATTTCAAAGGCATTTTTGTTACATTTTCAACAATTATCATTCATTATGTAATTCAATTAAGCAATACTGTCCCCGATATCGCTACTGTCCCCGATATGGCCGGTAGAAACAAGACAACAATAATCCCTCCTTTGTTGAAATTTAGACATCTTTATTTCATATGCTTATATCGTCTTATATCTGAGCTAACAAAGAATTCTGTGCCAATGGGCGCTCCATAAGGAATGCTAATTCTTGTAATCATGAAACGGTATAAGGCCCTCCCACAAAAAGCAAGCGCAGAGTCCTGAGCATCGAGTCATTTCACAAATGTGTTTCGTCAAGGTTGGTTGGATATAGGATATTGGGTGTAATTTGGTCTCATTTGTTCATAGTAGTTTCGTTATCGATTTGTTGGATTGATATCGTAATTACTAAGTTCATCATTGACGTAAATAAATTTATCTTAATGAAAGTTTAATTACCCAAGTTTGAGGTACTATGAATTGAAGAGGCGGAAGGAACCCTCAGTTTTTTGTCATAGTTAAGGGAAATCGGCGACAAATACAAATTACCGATTTATTTTTGTATTTTAAAAACGATTTTGGGTTGAAATGAAATGTTGTATTCATTATAAATGATTCATAAACTTATTCTTATCACTCATCTTATTCACTCCTCTCCTTTGTTATCAGTTCAGGTTTCAATTCATTTAAAATTATGGTGAAATAAAAATACGATTAAATGTTGTCGGGTATGTTGTAAATCTGTCGCTAACATTTAATTTTTAAGTAATTGAATCGTAAGTTTAATTTTCTTTTTTTTGGGGAATTTTATATGTGACATCGAAATATTGTGACAGGAAAAATCTTCACGTTACTGTTGTCCATTAAACTATTTTACACAATCCATAATTATTTGCTTTTTAATCTTTTCCTTTTTCAATTACAACCCATGGAAACGAAAAAACACAAATGGCGGAAAAAGTAGAAGGGGAAAAAGGCGGGAAAAGTCGTATCAAAGTAGAAGTAGTCGGATCTGAAAATAATTTAAACTTTTTCGGCCCCAAATTTTTTCAACACTTCTTCCATTTGCTTATGATATTCGAACATTAATTCGTTGAAACGTTTCAAACAGATTGCTTGATCAATTAGAATTGTTGGAATTTTGCGTAAATCAGCCTAAAAAAAAAATTACCGATTTATAAGGAGTCGAAGTCTAGAAGTTTCGAAAAGAAATACGATGAATCATCTTCAAATTTTAAATTCGAGTTATTTCGTAATCTTTTCGTGGCTGTTCCAACTAAAAACTTTTGGTTGTTTCCGTTTTTTCATCCCTAAATGTTTATGAAAAATATTGCAAATGATATTATGATTAGCAAATAATTTAAAATAGTTGACAAACATCCGTTACAGTTATCGATTGGAACATTTTCTCTAACACTTGGTATACAATGGGTTAGTTTTTTTTTGAAAAAAGGAAATTGTAGATTGATGAAAAGTTGGAATTTAGAAATTCTAGAAAAAAGTACGCTAAATCATCTTCAAAATTTATCTCAGTAGGTTGTCTTGTTATCTCAGTAGGTTTTCTCTCTCTCTCTC